TGCCTAGACAAAGCCCCTAAATTGTAGATATAACTACCGAGGAAATACCGGACCTTTGCGCGACTTTCTGGAACAGCACCTTGGGCGCGACTGGCACACGCAACAGTCGGGCCTAGATCCAGGCACGCTTCCGAAGCTTTTCTGCTGGTTTGGAGGCTTGACACAGGAGTCCGAACAACTAGACTCGTTCTGTACCTTCATGTCTGTAACTACAGTGTACATGGAGGCAGAGCAAACACGTCCCAAAAGAAGACTTCTGTTTTAATTTCTATGGCCCATGTGCTAGGCCTCAGAGAGGTTTGCACCAGCAAAGCGGCCCCTCCATGCATTACCCACGAAACCGTCACCCTTGCACGCGAAGTGCGAAAGGCGCAGTCAGTCTTCCTTAGCTTCGAAAGCCGTTGTAGGCGTCGCAGTCGCTTCTTCTCTTTGTCGTGATCGCCGTCGTTGTGGTCGGAGTGATTCGTGTCTCTAGGACCAGTCTTCTCCGGTTAACCTGAAAACAGTCGCTTCTGTGTCTTTCCGTTGGTACACCGCAGCAAGGTCCTGAAGTGAATGCTGGGAGACCTTTTCGAGTGATTGCACGGACGACAGGAGCGGTGGATAGGTGGGTGGACGAACGGGAGATTCCTCCTGACTCGCGGCTGCAGGGAGAGCGGCTAAATCTAGTGTTTCAAAGGAAGACACAGCCTTCAGAAGAAAGTCCATGAGGGTTTCGGGGGGGGCCAGGGCTCGTTTCAGACTTTGCGAGCTTGCCCTCCTGCACCTGGCAAAGCTTTTGATGAGCAAACGATGCTCGCATGCTCCGAACTCTTCCATTCCAGAAACCCCGAAAGCCAGAAGCAGAAGAAGAAGTTACCAAACAACCCTAAAATGTTGGTTCTCCCTCCAGGAAAGCGTTTTGCCCGGCAGCGGCCAGCCACTTGGCCTGCGGGAGGGCGAGGTGTGGCAATGTCCGATCTGCCTGACAGGGCCGGGAAGCCCAGTCGGCCTGAGTCCGTGGCAGATTTAGTAGGACTATTTTTAGGGTTTAGGGTTTAGGGTTTAGTTTCAGTTCGGAGTTGAGGGCAGCTGTGAAAAGGTTTTAGGATGTTTTGTGCAGCTTTGTATGGCCTTTCAGGGTTCAGAGTCTTTGAGGCTCCCCTCCGTCCTTCCTATGGAGTCTCAAGAAGCGGACGTGTGATTCCCATGTTGGTCCATGTTTCCTGATGGAATCATGTCCCCTAAACCCTAAACCCTACACCCTCAACCCCTAAACCCTAACCCTAAGCCCTAAACCCTAAACCCTAACCCTAAGCCCTAAACCCTAAACCCTAAACCCTAAACCCAAACCCCTAAACCCTAAACCCTAGGGAAAAAACCCTCAACCCCAAAACCCTGTCCCTCCCCCCCGGCCCTCAAACATTTCAAGAAGGTCTTGGAGGTCCTGGCTCCACTAATTTGGATTGGGTTTAGGGTTTAGGGTTAATTTGGGAAAACGCTGGCTTCGGAGCGGATGATGGTTGACTCGCAGGCGCGTAATCTAGGGGCCTAAATAGTTACCAATACTACTTTTGGGGGGATTTTTTGGGGGGCTCCTTATTGTAATTATTGTATAGTATACCCCCAAACCCTATTCTAATTATTCAGGCCCCTATAGTAGGCTCAACGACTTTCTGGCATTGGGGGTACACATGTTGTTGCAGAGGCTGCGGAGTTTATGGAATGAGCATAAACCCTCCATGCAAAATCTCATAAGCTCTTCAATTGCCGAAACCCTTAAGCACGGGGGCTTGGGTTTGTCATGGTTTGGAGACTTAGCTTTCACAGATCCCATGACTCTCGACTCGCCTAAAGTCTTGGACCTGAGATTAGAGATGTGGGATCCGGCTAGGCTTTTGGCTGTGCAGTTGGGTATAGTGCAGTCAGTGTAGCTTCTTGCGGCTCAAAGGCCCCTTGGCAAAGTCTAAACTTGAGCCCCGGAAGTTTGCACCAGGTGTGAGTCCAGCAACTGCGGGAGCAGTGATGGAGCATCGGATCAAGGCGACCGTCATCTCATGCATGCAGGGCCGTTTCAATCTGACGGAAAGAAGCGGCAAATTGCAATGCTTATGTCTTTGTGTCTGTATGTCTGCCAGCCTGCCTGCCTGCCTGTTTGTCTGTCTGTCTGTCTGTCTGTCTGTCTGTCTGTCTGTCTGTCTGTCTATTTGTCTATCTATCTGTCTATGTGATGGTCTATCTGTCACACTACCCATCTACTATCTACCCATCCCGTGGAATTGGATGTACTGGAGGACGGCGCATCTGTCTGCTCTGCGACAGTGACGGCAATGCCTGGCACGTGTTCCACAAGACCTGCGCCAAAGAGTGGCTTCTTGTCTTTCAGAGGGCAGCCAGTTTCTGGCCCTCAAACCTGGCAAAGACCTTGAACTCGACACGTGAGTCGCTCTAGCGAAGCAGGGTCTGGGCTGGGTTCTATGGAATGCAAACTTCTGAACCTCATAATGTCTGTCAATGGCCTGGGTGTTCCCTGCACAGCTAGCGGTTTTCCTGTCTCATGGGACTTCCAAGCGAGCGAGGTAGTCTTGGGTTGCAGGGTCTGTCCTGTCTGTCCTTCCCGTCCGTCCGTCTGTGTTTGTTTCCCTCTCTCTCGCTCTCTCTTTCTCTCGCTCTGTCTCTCTCTCTCTCTCTCTCTCTTTCTCTCCCTCCCTCCCTCCCTCCCT